ACACACACACACACACACACGGGCGAGCATAGTAAATACGGAACATCTTAACTTACTGAAAACAAATAATTCGACTAAATAAAACACAACTGATAACCCAACATTAAATTACTCCACTCGAACAAAAAATACTCCTTTAAAATTTCAAAGAAATCTTTGCTTATCTTTATTACGTACATGCCAAGAGAATATTCTTTTGGTACATACCTAATTATGAGCAATGAAACTAAGCTTTATAAGAATAAATTATTCCAAATTTGGTTACCAAGGAGTTTGCGACTTCCATCTCTTTATCGAAGCAACAGCAATCGATAAGACATACTGATTTTATCAAGTACGCCAAACATCTCCCAAAAGTTTGCAATACCTTTAGTATTGAGCAATATTTCTGCAGTTCTAGAGTATTCAAAACAACATAGACAGTGTTTTTTACTCACACATTCAAGGATCTTGAAAACAGCTGGACACGAGAGCAAATAATCCATGTTCAGATATACTATCCTGTCGTCGTGTGACCGTGCGCTGTCAGGATTGTGAGCGTTTCGTTTCCCCATGTCTTCTGAATTATTTCTGAAAGCCAAGATAAAAATCCTGTTCAGCTCAGACCAAGGCAATGTAGAGTTAGTATATCGTGGCTCACAGCACGAGAAACTGATATTCAAGATTATAGTACAAAGGGACGCTAATGTTCGTACTTCTCTTTGATAATGAAGAAGTAAAGCCAAGAGGTGAAACTTGGTATTCAATTGACAGCCTTAGATTAACCAATTAAAACTCTTGTACAATTAGTAAGACGTAGCTGGAGTGTTATCCCATCGCATTCAGGTCAGCAAGTATTTGGACTATTTTTGACATTTTTGACCCCTCAAAAGCTTCCTGTCACGCGCGAAGAGTCCCATAAAAACACCATTGGACATCAGTTAATAAGGCCTTGATTTAATAAATTATCGATTAAAAATCGATTAACCACGTGCTTAAATGGAGATTTTTGAAAACTGATATTTTTACTACATCGACTATTTACATAGATCAGTTTTGTTTGATTTTTTGGAGTAATATTTTTTTTCGGATGCGTTTTGTATGCAAATGCTTATATATATAAATAGATATAACTAGCTAAAAACTAGTGTGAGCTGCGTCGGTGTTTATAATATATATATAAGGAATGTAAAACATGCGCGCATGTAATGTGTCTGTACTGTGATATAAAATGCTGGGAGCTGTAGAGCATGATAGAAGCAAGCTTAGGAACACAAGGCGTAGCTGAATGTTTTCTCTTGCTTTTCGAGTAGGCAACAGCTCCAAAAGTTTTTATATCTCAGTTCAGAGACACAAGCAGCCGTTTTGTATTCCTTTTATATTTGCGCGTATCCTACAGCTTTGCCTAAGCGTGTCTCTGTTCTCTGATATAAACACGGTAGCCAGCCAATCAGCGCGCGTTTTATATTCTAATGTTTTCGAATGCAGAACAATGGGAAAACAATCGACATATATCATATATATGATAATAATAATTGATTATACAGCTTCTCATTAATCCCATATAGGTAACTGTCCAATTATTTTCTTAATTGGACAGGTCTTGTTGATATGGGATTAATTAGGCAGCTATATAATTAATAGGTAATAGGACTCCATGCTGTCCAATCAAGAAATAATTAGACTCGAAAAATTCTATTACATATACAAACTTTATTTGACACACAAATCCTTCAGTAATGACTGATTTACAAAGATGCTGTGTATATCAGTGTGAGCTCAGAATTTTGGAAGTCAGAGTATATATTTATTTATGTATACACACATTACACACATACATCGTAACATATATATATCCGAATTTACCTATATTTTGCCTTTTTAGTTTCGCTGTATAACATATGAATAATTCAAATGCTTTAAAACACTGTAATCACTATTCATAGATAGAACTTCACCAACAGTCACGCCACTTTAACCGTCGCCAAAATAAAACAAATTGTCAGAAAGCTAATTCTATTCCTTGGACTAAAAGCTAATTTTGGCTGTCGCTTTTGATTATCGAAACAGATATTTATTCAGCTCTTGAGTAGTATTGATATTTATTCCTGAAGACAAAATGAAAAGACATTTTCGGTTGTAGTTTGCATTTTGACCGAGGTTATATTATTGACCATTCGCTAGCTGTATGCTCTGATATGTCTGTGGAGAATAGTTAACTTTACTAAAAATATTTACTACCTTACCTTGTTAGCGTAAAAGCAAACGAGTTAGTCTGACAATTATCTTCTGCAGTCGTTCCAGTGAAACTAGAGTTACTTCAAATCCTTACAAGAGTAATTTCGATTCGTTTCACGCTATGGCTTTTTATGATAAAAAAGCRGCTCAAAATACAAAAATCTCGATTGAGATAGAAGTATTATTCTATTCCTAGTTCAAAGTAGAAAAAAGTGCAGAATTCAATCTTAATATCGCCAAAATTTAAGGATTTTTTCATGAGGTTTTCTCACGCTACACTACAAGCGTTTAACCACATCTTAATTTTGCATACGAATTAAGAAAAACATCTCTAGATTAACCAATAAGAATGCAGCATTCTGCCATTATATCATTATCAAGCAGCAATCAAATATTCTATCAATACTCACATCGTCAACAATAATTCTGAGCGTTTTTCTCTAGAAAACGTCAAATGCGAACAACAAAAATTCCAAACCTATCGAAGGCATCTAATTATAATGGATTTTTCGAATGGCTGCATCGCTGCATTTGCATCTTACTAATACATTAAAAGCTTTACCAAGTCCTATATTTATTTCGAGTTTTACATATAAGAAAAATAATGCCATTTAACTTCATTCTTTCTTTTAGAGGAAGGCGTTTAATCATATGTTAAAAATATGCTTTATTTTTCTCGGTTGTTTAGAGAAGTTTGACACTGATAAAGCTCGGTGGCCGAAGTAGGGTCCGCAAGACAACAGCTTGAGAATACACATCAATATTCCTTCTTAAATCTTGCGTGTGAAGAACAATGATAAGCTAGCAGTGTTATTTCTCCAGGCTTTGTATATAATAATAACGATTCACTTGGTAAATTCTTCAGAGCTTTTAGCAAAAGGTTTTCCAAAGTGATGAAACGACACAAGCCAAATGGCTGTGAAAGATGCCAAAAATGTTTACGAACTTTTCCTAGTTTACTTTTGAAGAATAAATAGCTACGATTTTATATACTTTTTGAAAATTAAGCTACTGCATATTACCTGTAAATCTGTTCTTCTACATTTTCCTGCATAAAATAGATTTGCCTTTAAAGAGAGAAGGCTTCCTATTTATGATTCATTCTATCGTCGAACGTTCTTGGTGCTGTCTTAATCTAAGTTTTGCGAGAGTCGTTGCAAACATCAAATTATGGGTCAATGATCCTTTTTCAGAGCTATGGAAATCCTTGCAAAATTATGAATGCTTAAGAACTAGTTGTTAACTTTGACAGAGATCTTTTTGGGACAAGATTGATACGTAAGAAAGCAACTTGTTTAGTTTTGAAAGTAAGTTCAGTTACGCCAAGAACACCTCTGTCTGAGGTAGTGCATTAATCCAACACACACAAACACTTACCAAAGAATCACCTTCTTGCTAAATTTCTATCAAATTACTTGATGCTGATGCCTCGAATTCCAGTTCTTGGAGAAACTTTTCTCGTTGTTTTTGTGCAAAATATTTGGAATTCTAGAACCTCTGCTGGTTCTTAACGAGACAACTGAAGGCAACGAAGCGAAGAAAGCTTGATTGAAAATAAACTTAGACTATATGGAATATTTTGCATCTCATTTAAAAGATTATAAGTTGCTGTCGATAGAATGAGTTGCGTCACAATAGATACTAAGTGTGGTTGGTATATTAATTTACTAAGGTAAACTTTATAGCCTTTATTTTTTATGCGTCTAGGCCCTGGAAGCCTGGATGGCAGTTTTTCTCTTCTCTTCGTTAATCCTCCATTTTAGTCGAGTATGTTTTAAACCAAAGTCTAGACAACAAAAGAAATAAATTTGCGTGTATGTGAACTGTCTCACACTGTGGATAACGACCTAGGTTTGGAACATTAGATATTTGAGGGGGAGGGGGAGGGGTGGATGCAGGCACAAGTCTTGCACGCATTTTTTTTTACGCAACCCCTCACCCCCCTTAATTAATAGTTTGTTCAAAATGGGGGCTGGGAAATGGGATTAACCCCCCCTTCAGGACCCTCTTATATTCGGATTTTGATCGGAGCCTAAAAAGCCTAGAAAAAAGCGTCATGGTAAAAGAGAGAGAGAGAATAACACATTAAACGTATAGAAAATGTAATTTCGAAAGATAACAATCGCATATATTTTCGCTGTTACCTTTATTTGTTTAGTACGACTTTAGATAAATGTATTTACACATTAAGGTATAGTTTTTTTAACAAACTGATAACACTGCTACTTTTTTATAACCTAAGGTATTTTGTGTTTTTTTAAAGAACACTAAAGCTGCTTACATAAGAGGCTAGAATTGCAGTCCTAACGATATTGACCACTTGCTAATTGACCACACCGGTGAAATTAGCAATAGATTTAGATTTATAGACCAAATTCAAAACTCGTACCGATGTGAGGCTTAAGTTGTGAACAAAGGGATCTGGCGTGAGTCAAAGTGATCTGGCGTGGTTCAAAAGTCGAATTCCAAATTACCGCTGTGTTTCTTGATTACAGACTCATTTGCACAGGGTTAGCCTTGAGTTTGTGCAGAATATTCACGTGTTACAGTCAAGGTCCGTCGAGTTTCAAAATGTTTGTATTGTTGAAGTTGTGCATTCTTCTTTTCTGTTGGTATTTGTGAATATTTAAACACCGATACAAGGCTAACCCTGTGCGAATGAGTCTGTAATCAAGGAACACAGCGGTAATTTGGAATTCGAAAATGGTCTRTTATCAGCCAATCAAGTCCACTGTCCCTGTTCTAACTTCCTCTTTTACTCCAACGCAGAACTAGCGTCCGAAACTTCAGTAAGTTTTTTTCATCTTTTCACGGTGTATAATTTACCTTTTCATCATTACTGTTTCATTAGAAAAACCGACGCAGCTCACACTAGTTTTTAGCTAGTTATCTCTTCTGTTCTAATTTAGTTTCGTAACCCAAGGATGTTGTCTCTGGACTTGGGATACAGCGGCTATTTCAAGATCAACCAGTTTTCCCATTTTAGACCACGTGTCACTCCCTTGAGTATTCTCTACATCTYTTTTTGAGTTGCAAGCACATCGAGATAGACCTCCTCGGCTCTGACGTAATGTTTTCCCATTTCAGACCACGTGTCATTCCCTAGAGTATCATTTCTTTGTTTAACGGTTGCACATGAGAAGACACATGAATATGGATACAACTCGAGCAAATAATATTATTCTCAAGGAAAWGACAGGTGGTCTGGAATGGGACAACATTACGCTCGAGCGCTCGCAGAGCCGAGGAGGTCTATTGACAAATGCAGTGTGTGCGAGCTTAGCCTCACTTCTGAGCTCGGCAAACAAAAACAGAAATTAGAATAACAAAACAAGCTACTCCTGGATTCGAGGCTAAGCCTGCATACACTGAAGTTTTAAAGTGCTAGTCTTACGAAAATAATATTGAAACAAAAAAATCCCCGATTTTCTATATGCTCGAATAGGTTTTAAAGTTCACCAATAAACAATTGTTGGTTCGAAAAAGAAAATTTTCCCGTCTGAATTCTACTTTTGAAAACTGTCAAAAGCCCGGCGCCATTGCTATGAGCAGAGGACTCAAAGGGTCAAACTTTACCGTTTAAATACAACATCTTCCCAGTCTCGTATCGAAACAGAATTTGCACATTAAACTATAGCATATGTCTAGTTTCATATAGAACAATTTCCAGGGATGGTGTCATATATTTTCGTAAGACCACTGTATTCTTTGCAGTAGATAAAAGCATAATATTAAAGGGAATGACATGTGATTTGAGAATAGCAAACGACATCAACGGCACTCACTCATACAAGGTTAATTTATAAGAAAACATATTAAAGAGACAGTAGTTCTCGATTGAACTAGAAAAAGCTTGAAAATCAGTTGTAACTAACTTTCAAGAATTTAGTCACGGCAAGATTTTCTTTTTTTTAATATATATAAAAAAAACAAAACATATATTGCATACAAAACACAAAACTAGCCAAGTCTAAAAACGATAATTACATATTTATGGCAGAAAAGTTCGATAAGCGATATTACATTTTAAGTTATTTTACTTGTTTTTACAATGATAACGTTAAACATGTAATGCATAGTTTAGTATGTGGATTATGTGGGGGGTAGGGTGGGGGAGTTATTAGTTCTCGTCAGTCAGTTGTCATGGAGATCTTCAAGGAACTCTGAGAAAGTTATCGGAAGGCGTTGGCATGGAGTGTGGCGTCAATGAGGAAGAGGATTGAGTTGAGAATGCCAACGCTCTAAAATACAAAAAAATATTTGTTAGGTTCGGCTTATCAAGTATACAGTATGCAAGGGGTCTATAAAACACTTACGATAGCAACCAGAAGGTGATCTGTGTACCACTTCCAGTATTCTGTGTCAGTATCGTACAGGCGGTTGTTGTAGAGCTTGTCAGCATAGTAGAACATGAGACCCGCTGAAATACCACACAGTATTGACAACCCGAACGACATCACCACGTTCTGTCGATAGACAAGGAATGAGACAATAATGTCAGCAATTTTTTTTGAAACGTACAGTAAAGCCTTTATTAAGCGACCAACCCCGTATTTAACGGCCAGTTGGCAAAGCCCTAAATACACCCCTTCAGTGGCGTAACCAGGGATCTTGCAGAGGAGGTGCACAGGCAATGATTTGCAGAACGAAAAAAAGGTAACTAATAAAAAAGAAGAGAACAAAAAAAAACAAAACAAAACAAAATAAAACAAAAAACAAAAAAACAGGGAATAATGGGTGAGTGATTCCTAAAAACGCTACAACATGCAGATGCAAAGTGGTCTTCATTTAATCAAAAACCTTTAACATGCAATTTTAAAACAAAAGGAGATAGATGAGTGGACCTTAAGCGTTTATGGGGGGGTGCACATGCACCCTGTGCTCCCCCCTGGTTACGGCCATGCCCTTGCAGCACTTCGAAATGCAACGCAACAGACCTCCTCGGCTAGGGCGTAATGTTTTCCCATTTCAGACCACGAATATACAAAACGAATATACAAAATATACGAATATACAGAAGATAATATAGGTAAGTTGTAGTGCTTGGGAACGAGGTTATTCCGGGCGAAAGCCCTTGGAATTAAATTCGGAAAAATTAATTTCCGACCTCGCTGGGAATCGAACCCACGACCCACGGAATAACCTCGTTCCCAAGCACTACAACTTACCTATATTATCCTCTACTATTTCATTAGTGCCACGCGGTCCACATACTCTCATACGAATATACAAAACGCATCTGAAAAATATTACTCCAAAACATCAAACAAAACTTACCTAAGTAAATAATCGATGTAGTAAAAATTATAGTTTATTTAAGCACGTGGTTAATCGTGATATAAACACTCTGAGAGCTGTAGAGCACTCGAAAAGCAAAGGAAACCTAAGCTACGTCTCGTGTTCCTAAGCACTTCTGTATGCTTAAGTGTATATATAAAGRAAGTTTTGTCAAAAGCCCTTTTTGAAAAATCTTAGTCTAAAGGTGAGTCTACCTACCGCTATCTCGAACACTCTTCTTGCACCACAAGCCAAGTCCAACTGTGCCAGGAAAATAGCCAGGATAATGATAGACTCCAGCATGCCAATCAAATGGGTCGCGAAATATAGAATATAGCGGTTCTGATACGCCTCAGTGTAATCGTCGCCAAAGGCCATGTGCGCCACCACCATACATGAGAATCCAAGGCATGTGAAGATCTAGACGAGGAATATTTGAAGATTTGAAAATTATTGTTTGTTGTCACAAAAATTATCCACTTATCGTAGAAATGCTACTAAGGGATGGTAGAGAAGGTTATCGCTACGAGGGAGGCAGAACGTATGACAAAGACAAATTAACCGGTTGGCATTGTTTTGAGGGCCCTAAAAAGGAACCAGATAAAGAACCGTTTGATTTAGACACCACAAATGATAACAATGACTTTTAGGGGCCCCGCATGAAAGCTTAATAAAGGATTACCTCAATAATGACAAGGGTCACAGAAAACAACACATTAGATCTGTACCAGGATTAAGACTGCGCTTAAATGTTACGTTCAATCGTTCAAAAACCAGGATTAAGATTACGCTTAAATGTTATATACGTTCAATCGTTCAAAAACACATTTAGCTGAGCTCTTTTGCTGCCAGGGTGGAATGCGTCAACGCTCTTCTAGATCATCGATACAAACTAGTCGTACTACTTACTATAAGCAAGACCTTGACCACCGTCTTAGGGCCTAAAGGCTTGTATGGTGGTTCATCTGAGTCCTTCAATCGCCTGTGCATTTTGGGTATTTCTTTGGAGGAAAAAAGTTTATGTACTTGATTAGAAAATGAGATGAAAGCAAGAGAGACAAAACTATAAGAAAAATTACAAAACTATAAGAAAAAACACCACATAAGAACCTGTACATGTTAGCCTAAAATTATCAAAATATGACCTATTTTTATAAGAACCTGAAAGATTTGAAGCAAATTCTTAATTTAAAAAAAAAAAAARAACCTTGAAGATCTCCARGAAAATATGAAACACATATTTAGTCAACAACATTAAACCTGATGCACTGAGAATTGAAATAATTACTTTAGCCTGTTTTTACATTGAATTTATCAGCATTCCATAACTCGACCAGTCCTTGGTATTGTGTATATAAAAATAAGAACCTATTTAAGAACCTAATTAGCCTAAAATTTCACGAAGCACCCGTTATATAAGAACCTGTTTAGGCTGACTTGGAAAAACCTAGGTTCTTATGTGCGGGAGTTTACTGTAACTGAAAGATGGTCAGTGGTAGATGGGTACAGACAGATGTGACTAATCGACTGAGGGGCAACGTGTTAAATAACTGACCTGGAGAGAGAGGGGGGGAGGGGAAGGGGGTGATGTCTTAGTTTCTTAATGGAAGCAAAGGGGGATGTTATCTAAACAATAACAATAAATAGGACAATTTTCTCTGCAGCTTGTCTCTCAACAGCGTTGCAACACAAGTTGCTTGAGTGTTTACACGGTGCCACGGAGATGCAAACAATTGCTGCAACTTGTCTCGCAACATTTTTTTTCAAATTGTGCTGCAGTTTACACGCTGCAATGCTCCATGCAACTTGTGTCACAACGCCATTGAGAGACAAGCTGCAGAGAAAATTGCTCCATGTAAACGTGTCTTATAAATACGTAAAATACCAATGAATTGCACCACATTAATGGCCATTGAGGTTGATTAGAACACGATCATGTTTTGAATAAGACTATTCTTTTAGTTCTCTCCATCTTTTGCATTTAGTGATGTGGTTTAACAATTATCTTTCGTCTTATTTAAGGCGACAGCCGGCCACTCCTTAACTGCCATTACAGCTTCGCCAAGGAAACAGTTACTTTTCAACAAGTCCCTTCCTTAAGCATGCTTGAACAGCGGACGACGTAAAAATGGAAATGTGAAAGATGTTCAGTGGTAGAAGATGGATACGGATAGATGCAACTAACAACATCAGAAGCACGAGCGGCACTTGCAAAAACAGCAGCAACAACAATATGGACAGTCGTACAGCATGGGTACAGATGCTATCAGCAAAAGCAGTCAGCAACAACAACAGCAACAGCCGTGAGTAAATGTTCGAAAAATTCTTCTCGTTATACTGTCTTAAAAGTTGCATTATAACAAATAGATTCTTTAGCTTTACATTGCTTAAAAATCCAATTTGGTTTCTGAATCATTTAAAGACACATAAATACATCTTCGAACATCGAATGAAGGCGCAAAACTTAGTCAAGGAAAAATTTATTGGAAATAATAAATGTGTGCGAGATCTAAAGTTAGATTTCGTAAAAGTCATGACTTCGTGCAAACCAAAATATCCCGAAATGCTTGAATAACAATCGCATTTTCGCATATTGGCATAAATGCGATGTCGTCACCGATTGATCTTTGATAACTAATGTAATTTTAGTAAAAACTGAAATATTTATAAACAAAATGTCTTGTTTTTAGGACTTTCTTACAATGCAGTCTCCTCAGAAATCAATATTCTATTCACATTCAAACAAAATTATTCACAATCCATGAATACCACAATGGTTTAACTCGAGCAGTTGATGCGAACTTTTCGCATTTGGAAAATGCAAGTTCAGCTGTACATGTCTGCTATAATCGCGAGATGAAGTACTTCGATAATCTAAAGAACAGGAATTTGTGTTTGTTCTGTGTTTTGTGTCAAATAGAAGGTCGTTATTTTTGATTTTAACGTTCAGTTTTCTCGATGATTATATTATGCTTACAGCTCTACTCAACCTTGAAATCTTCACTTCAACAAYACTGACTCTTTTAGATAATTTGTATCGAAAAAATATATTACAAACTACGAAATAATTGATTATAGCTTCATGAAATWATACTAAAGTCAAAGAAGTCCTTTCGTGTTCATCATGTTTTAAAAAAGAACAGCTTCAGAACCTTTTACATGTGATAAGAGCAGGTATCGTGTCGAGCACGCTCGTCTAACAATGCCCAAATGCGATTTCTAGAGTATAACGGACTGATACAAGTCTTCTTTGGTAAATACAGCACATTTTGATGAATTTTGAACCTATTTACTTGCTTTAAGGTTAGTTATTCCAGCGTAACATAATAAAAACATCAACAAGGAGTTAATAATATCTTTAAGTTAGTTTGTAAAGTGTGCTAGCATCTTAATCTGCTTTCTCAAAGACTCCATTTCGAATCTTTTAGCATCGATTGCACTATATTTAACTTACCTCGTTATACAATATCTCAGCCGTTTGTAACAATCTCAGAAGTCTTCGAAAAAAAGGCGTCCCAGTTAGCAAATGGACTCGATATCAATAAATTTGGTCCAAAACCGATGCCGAGTTATTCAACCGTTGATTCGTGCCATTAACATGAATATATCTTTTTTTATAGATTCATTATTATGATCATTTCATCGTTTGACTAACAAGGGAGGGGTGGGTGGGCAAAATTTTGGCTTCAAAATAATCGGCTGTCAATAGGTTATGCTAGAAGACTTCAAAATAGAACTGTCAGGAAAAAAACCCGGTTTTAACTCATTTTATTTATAAGAAATTCCCACGACAATATATTAACTATGTGCCAATGGACAGAATAACCGGCCCTAAGCATTTTGGAGCTTGAAAGAACGAAGTAAACGTGGCGGCAAAGTGAAATTGTTTTTATTCTTCCTTTCCATATTTCTGTTTCTTGTAGGTACGTATATTATATTTTAGTCAAAACAGAAAAATATGCAAATTTGGGTTACAGTAGCCTGGGAATAAGGGCCGGCGGCAAAACAGCTAAACGCGCTGTGATTGGCTGAAASAAAATTCACCGCTCAGCTGGTACCTACAATAAAAAAATATTCATTTTTAACGCATGGATTCGGCGAAAGTGAATAACACTTCTAAACGAATTTTTAATAGAATATCCGCTTATTTCACAGTGTATATCAAGCATGTAAAAGAATCAGTTGAGACATGCATAATTATAACTGTCAAGACGTTACGAGTAATTGAATACGCATAAGGCAACGCTCTTGTCAGCTGTACGTGTTTGCCATGCGGCAGTTAACTTTTGATTTGCTGAGGATAGAAAATGTATTGTTTTGGTACCCCATAATGGCCGCTGTGACGTCACGTGAAAACTCTCTATAAAGTTAGTCACCAAAAACCTAGAAAKCTGTGATCGCTGAGAACCATGGGAAACATTTTATATTCAACAAGTAAAGCTTTTGACACAAACTGCAGCAGTTGAGGATGCTCAGAAGAGGTGTGACTGTAACTGGTAAAAGATGTGCAAGCCCATCAAGAGTTATGAAGCGGTTGAAACATGTAAAATACATCTACCCACAATCCTTGTCGGTCTCAGCTTTGTATCTTTTCGGGTGACTAACTTTATTGAAATAAGTGCATCATGCATGTAAAAGAATCAGTTGAGACATGCATAATTAGAACTGTCTAGATGTTACGAGTATTTGAATAGGCATAAAGCAACGCTCTTGTCAGCAGGACGTAAGGGCGTATCAAAGAGTTGCTGTGTGGCAGTTTCACTTTCGATTTGCTCAGTTTTGAGTGCGGCTGTTGTTCGTCTTTTTTGCTTCAAACGTTCACATACCATGGATACAATTAAGGAGTATCTTTCTCCTAAAAGTTTCAACCATTTGAGCTTCGTTGTGGTGATTGGTTCGGTAGTGATTGGAATCATTCTACTTGGAGTCGTCGCTGATATTGAAGCCAGCGAACAAAGGTATTTTAGCTGCCAAATAAAAGGAGAAGAGAAAGAAAGTAACCTGTATGTTCAAAGAACATGCTTCGCTTACTACCAAGCCAAAACCACAAGAGGTTTTCCACTTTATGGTTTTGTTCTTTTAAACTTCTTGTTGGTTATAATGGTGTGCTTCTGCTACTCTCAGTCTGTTCGATATAAAGTGAAATACCTCGAACGCGAAGACCTTGAAATGCAAACAAACCAATCTACTCGTCAATATCGTAGGTATTGCATTCAACTCGCTGTTAGATTTAYTCTAGGCATGATATTTCTTATTCTACAATGGGGAGTCTTATATCCTGTCAACTTTCCTTCCAAGTACGCCTGTGAATTGACAAGCAATCGTGAAGCAAAACATACGAATATCACGAGCAGCGATGCAGCAAATGTCACACGGTCTTGGTATGATTGTTATAATTTACAAGCAGGAAAGAAAACGTTCTGGACAATTATTGTTTTTGTAGTCAATGTTCTATTTAATGTTCTTATCCTTCTGGAGTTGATATATGTCATGAGGAAAGCTAAAATCAATGATAATTTCAGGAAAGATTTAGAGTTTTTCAATATTCATCT